ATATAGGTGGACCACCCTTGTTTGACATGTCATTATATAGCACAGAACTCTATTCAGACAACCTGTATTAGACTCTTGGCTACTTTGTCAGAATATCTAACCCATTAAAATATCTGTCTGTCTATCTTTGCAGAGGGAATAATGTCTAATTCATAGAGTTAAAATGCGATCGTGCATCAAAATGCTTAATGAAGTGTCTACCCATAGTAGGTGTTCAACAAAACAAAGCCAATAAAAGCATTAATTTTTTTATGTGAAAACAGAAAACTAAGAATTGTAGATATTAAGGGCAAGGTAAGTATTGTCTTAATTCTTGAGGAAATTGCATTTTCCCTTGCATTTTAGCACTCTGACAACATATCCTGAGACAATTTAAACTGAAAGGTTAGTATTTGGTGAGATTTTTTCCTCTTTTGATATAGAATCAATGTAACAAGAATCAGTCTAGTGACAAGAATCAATCTAAAAGTACAGAAAATGACAGTTACTTTCCCCTACTTCCTATCTCATCCATAGTATGAATTAAATACAGCTAGATGACATAGAGATTTGTATGAACATGCACACAATCACAAAATGAGTAAATTCCTCACCTAAATGATATTTATTTTGCTAAAGGGGGAGGTGATGCAACTTCAGGAGCCCTTTCCTGGACAGCACCAAGGGCTAGCTCCTCTCTGATTCTCAGTTTAGGAGACCCTTTCCTAACCACCGAGGCTGGCTTTACCCCTGCCTGCTTATCAGTCCTCTTTGATACTCACAGTGTTCCCTGTATCTGAAATTAACAATTTATTTCTTATTCCATTTATCAGCTCCCTTTCCCCACTAGGACGGAAGCTTTTTGTGCTCGTTTATTCAGTATTTAACAACTGAATGAACGAGTGAGTGAATGAATATCCGTGTGTCTTTGCAGTTTTTCTCTTAGTCCCTGGGTTTCTTCCTAGAATTTTCTTTAGACAATAGGAGAAATGTGGCTATTTCTCAACTTCATCAGAGATGGAATAATTAGCTTCCACTGCAATTTAATGGCAAATGTCCCCACCAGCCCCTCCTGCTCTGAGTTATTTATTCATTAAGTTAACAGTTAACCCAAGTAAAGTTTATGTAAGTACAGTCTGGAAAGACGCTTCCCAGTTCAAATGGAATTTGTTTTTTCCGTGCCAGGAGACACATTCTCCAGAGAAACACAACTCTATAGTACTCTATGAAGGGTGAAGAAAGAAGAGAGACATAGAAGGGCTCAAGCTCCTATTTTTCAAAAAAGAGGCTGAAAATCAAAGCAGAAGACTTTCTTCAAAAAAGTGTGATCAGATCAAAATTCAAATTGCTTTAAAAGGAAAATATTACTTTTTCATGAAGGTAGATTATTATTCTCCCGGCTATGGTGAGGTCTGTAAATACGTGAAAGGTAATTACATAAAGAATAGTCACCAGCTGCTGCGTCTGTGGAAGGGAGGCTACAAGAGGAAGGAACAACTGCTGTCCTACAGATCATGGGTTTCTTGAGGGTAGGAACTGGGCATGACACGGGGCTCCAGATAGCATGAGATATGGATTAAATTGCTATCACATGAGCATGAGGGATCGGGAGGCGTTTGAATGTAAGAAAAGCTTTGCTGATTAAGAGTCATTAATGTTAGGAACTGGATTCTGAAAGAGGCTAGACATTTTTCTCCAGATTCTAATAAAGAACAAACTCAGATCTAGATAAACTTTTCCCCTAAATAGAACTAAATAACATTTTTCAGTCTCCACATTGTGACCTTCACGAATATTATCATATCTAACAAGAACAGGTTGCAGTAGACTCCAGTCATTAATAAAAAGCAATCTTCTTTCTCCTCACCACAATTTTTAAAACTCAGTGATTTTTATGGAAAAGCCACTGGATTTTAGAGCCATACATAGTATTAGAGTGATAATGGTCTAAAGCTTAGCTTTGTAGAGGGGAAAACCTTGTTCTGAGGAGAGAAAATTAAGCAGTCGAAAGACCTTGCTCTAGTGAATGTGCTTAGCAGAGAGACTGGTTGAGAAGACAAGACTGGCAACAAGATTCTCCCTACATTAGTAGCTGCCCAAAGGGAAACTTGTAAAAGAAGGATAAAAAGATAGCAGCACAGTCTCACAGAAACAGAAAATTTTAAAGTCATAAGAAATCAGTGAAAATACCAGAAAGATACAATTACCAAACTTTAAAATGCTTATTTTCCGAATGGCCCTTTGATGAAATGATTTCACTTAAAAGCTTATTTACAGATATGAGGTAATTTTGCAGAGTCACTTACTGATTATGGCCCACAGATAGAAGCATATTTTATTTTGTAGCTCAGTGCATACACACATGTAAAGAAATGAGACAACAGCTTTGAGAAACACATTCATGCTTTCACATAGGATGGACTCTGCTGTTTGCTGTTTCATCCTACTTGTGCTCACTGAACTGATTTCTGGTCCTAGTAATGAATCTCAAGGCATTTTGAAAAAGGATGTCAATTCCTCTTACCAGACCACTCCCGTACTAACATCTTCCCTCCAAGGACACACTGGTTCCCATAGAGAATATTTTGAAATTATTAATACAGCAGCAGAGTTATAGTCCTGTAATCCCAAGTCCTTCCAACGGGTATGCAAGCACTTTGATAGTCAATAAACTTCTGTGGCCAATGAAATCAATATAATCCTCTTGAGAGACTAGAGCTTCATCCTTGATCCTACTTCTGCTGCAGGACTGTCACCTTCCCTAAGTCTCCTGCCTATAGAGAATTCTCCTTGCTCTCTCCAAGATTATTTCTACCACAATTAGCACTGTAGTTAGTCTAGGTTGCTTATACTTAGACCACACAGAATTGAAGGTTTTATAATACACCCAGCCCATTTTTCTTGCTGATGTTTAGATTCTGTGTCATCTGAGTCACGGTTCAGGGCTGTGATCCCCAAGTCTTCAGTTCAGAGCCAAGCCTGTACTGCTCTCGAAATCCCGGGTGTCCTTATTGCTGAGGTAGAACACACTGGGCTGTAGCAGCAAACTCAGAGGGGAGGGCAGAAGCACCTTCCTCTCAGCAGTGATGCCCCCAATGTCATTGTTATTTCAGTGATTTGGGCTTCGCAAAAAAGTAAGTCTGGCCCCCAGCAGTTGATCATAGGAGATACTTAAAACAGTTTTAATTATTTTCTGCTGTTTGGCCCCAGTGAAGGTGATTCATGTCTCAAAAGAGATTTTTAATGGAGGGTATGGTCAGGTCTTAGCAGGTTATCAGGAGCTGGGAAGCAGAAGAGGGGAGCTGCGGAACCCAGGATAGATGCTAAAGCACAGAGGGAAGATTTATTTGTATCTAAATCTTGAATTTGGAGGGTTTCTGGTGCTGGTTTTCTGTTGTGGTGTGTGTGTGTGTGTGTGTGTGTGTGTGTGTGTGTGTGTGTACACGCGTTACTTCGCAAGCTTCCTCTCCCAAATGCCCAGCCTCCTTTCTTGTCACATTTCTTATGGCTAACAACATCATTCCCACTTAGACCCCGGGACGGAGGGGACTGTCTAATCTCCCCCTGCAGTAGGGCGGGGGCCAAGGGGTTCCAGTGCATGATGAGTCACACAGCCCTCGGGGTCACCAGACAGAAAGTGGCAGGAAAGGAGAGGCAGACAGGAACCTGAAAGACGCATCCCCTGGTTGTCCGGTGGGAGAGCTCTTCTATCCCTGCATTCTGTCTTCCACTGTGACCAGGAAAATCCTCAATCCCATAAATCAGGGGCTCGGGAAGTCGCTCTGGGTTTGGACGTGAGGGCTTAATACAGGACAGGGCACACACACGTCTCCCTTAAAGTCACTGACCGTCAGTGGAGGGCTCCACGAGCAACGAGCCTGGGTAGCAGCCCCACGGAGTGAGACCCTTCCACGTTGGCCTCTGGGGTTGCCTCGTGTGCTGTCCAAGAACCTCGCACTGGCCCTGCCCCGGGAAAGTACTGTGTTGTTGCCGTCAGGCTTTAGACCGTCCCGTTACACGGTTTTGTTCCTGCTTTTGCCAAGGAAACAGTGTTAGAAACCTCGACGGTGCACAGCCACCTTGTGGTCCGGGCCACACGGGATGCTGCTTTCCCAGCCCAGCACCCTTGACCAGAGTTCAGAAACAAGTGTCCGCCTCTGCCCTGTGGCACCCAGCTGTGTGCTAACGGAGGTGGAGGGCGGCCCGTCCTTGCAACCAACTTGCCTGCTTCCCAGGGCACCTGCCAGCCCGGCTGCTCCCTGCCCTGAATCAGGTTGTCCTGGGCGCCCGCTGACATCTAAGAGGCTGGGGGAGAAGGAGGAGGAGGAGGAGGCGCGGTCCTCGGGGCTGCCTTTCCTCACCCGGACCCTGGGGCCGGCAGCCTTTCCCTACGTGGAGGGCACTGTTGCCCCAAACCCAACGCCCCGGGCTTTGCGGGACCCTTACGGTTTCCCTTCTCCCGTCTACCCCCAGCTCCTCTTTCTCTCCCCCTTCGGGCACAGACCTCTTAGGAAGCGGTGTTTTCACGCCCCATCGTACTTCGACTGCCTCGCCCTTCTGCCCAGGCTCCGGGCTCTGCCAGAGTGGCAGGGGTGGCCCCTCTGGGCTAGGGTTTCTCGGAAACTCACCTCCCTGTGGAATTTGCCTCCTCCGGGGAAGGGACGGGGCTCCCAAAAAGCAGTCTCCGGGGACGGGTTGGCAATTTCCCAGCCCGGTCTGTCGCCCCCCACTCGTCCCCACTTAGGTCTCGCGGGTCCCTCGCCTGCTTCCGGCGTTTGCACCGCACTGGGGTCCCCGGCACGGTGCGCACAGCCCCTCGGGTTTCCGGGGAGCGGGGGGCTGGAGGACGCACGCAGCTCCCCGGCTCG